CTTTAAATCGCATTGTTATGAACATATTTTTCTTGGGGACACTTATCAAAAGCTTCTTACTACTTTCTGTGCTTGCATACCGAACTATGAATCTTGCGAGGTATCCCTTTTCGTGTAGTATTGATGACACGCATTCTCGTTCACTGTCCGGCGTACCTTCGGAACAAATTTTAGGACCTCTTGTAAAGGCACAGCGGACCAATTCTCGTTGGTAATTTCTAGAACAGAAACTGTTAAAGTTGAAATCTTTTCCTGTCTAATTAGTCTTTCGATACACAGATCGAGTGAGTGTGCCTCCTACATTCGTCTCCAGGTATACATGCAAGAAGTAAAAGGTGTTGTCCACCTCGCTTTCCATGGTGAATTTGATCGCAGGGTGGAAATTATTTAGAACTTCAAATAAACTTTTCGCCTGTTGAGGGCTATCAAGTACAAGGAACCTGTCGTCAAGGTCTACTGTACGTATTCACCTTTTGTATGTAGGCACGTAGTTTCGAGTGCTCCAAGTGGCCCATGAAAATGTAAGCCAGGTCTGGCCTAAGTGGACTGCCCATGGCTACGCCATCGATCCGACGGTATAATGTTCCGTTTACTTGAAACTGCATGTCCTTGGTGAACAAACTGAGTAAAGATTTGAGATAAAACGCTGGAAACCCAACTTCGTCAGCATGAGCACCGATGCTTTCTAACCTCTCTTCCAATGGGACGTTGGTGAAAAGTCAGTATACGTCATAAGAGACCATGTAGTCGTTGGAAGAATTACGTTTAACTTGTAGATAACTAGTTGTTCTTTATTACTCATCTACAGCAGCCGTGTATACAACGATAGGTTGGAGGCTTCTTTCCTATAAGTATAGAAGTTTAGCGATAGTCAAAGTATGCAACTTAATTAACGTGCGAGATTAACACTTTTCAGCTGTATGGGTAGCCAAATCAACTGGGTAAGGAACCTTACACAGTCCAGTAGTGTAAGAGTTTTATTTCGATTATTCCTCTGATTAACTGGGCTTTCGTACACTACGACGATTCCTGTTGGTAGTACTATAGTTTGTCGTGGTCACTCACGCACGATTTCCAACGAGTTGTCCTTTAACTAAGTTTGAGCGCAACCGACGGCAATCGGAATGGCGTAGGGTCATGAAAGCTGCCATTAATCACGGTGCCCCAGCCAATTTGCAGTTAGCTTGACTTTAATGTCGACAAATGTGGCTATCAATACAGCTAACCACAAGGAACCAATGTACTTACCGGTTGCATATCGATTCTGTGATGTCAAGCTTAACGTTCCAGTTCCAAAGAGAGGGGTTCTAATTCACCAAGATTCATGTAGCCGAAAATGTAGTCACTGGGTTTAGCTGTCTTTTCGGTTATGCAGACAAACAGAAGGTAACTGGTGACATTTTGTATTATGACTCCTTTACAGAAACTCGCTTGCGTACTAGGCAATAAGCCCTGGTTTTGGAGAAACCTTATCAGCAACGTCACAAACAGCCCCTTATATTCAACAACTGATTTGCTATTAAATCGGTAATTTTCCTCAACGTTATTATCGATATAAAACTCCGAGTAGGCTGGATTCGTCTCCTAATGCCTCGTCTGCAATTATTTGTTAATAAGGAGGGTGGTTTGGGATTTGTTGCATGAGATATCAGTCAATCGAACATGCTGCAAATTCAAAGAAAGCATGGTATATAAGCCATCTGAACACCGCTGCATAACTGAGGTTACAACCTATTCGAAGTACTTCAGGGACAAAGAGCCACTTTTCTTCCATTTTGGTACTCAATCTAGCGGTGAACACAACACATGTGCTTAACATGTACGGTTGTGATCGCTAAATTTCTAACAACATTATCATAGTTGTTTGGCATGAGAACAGGTTTAACAGTATATGGAAATCAACAGCACAATTGTGGAATAAGTAAACACTTTTAAAGTGCTCATCGGACTGTCTTCTTGAAATATTCTGTGAAAGTTACTGCAAAGCGAAAAAGAATAGTTATATGCCTTAAACCCGTCATATAGCTCAGCTGACTATGCTTATTACATTCTGCGTTTGGTTGCACAGCTTTTGAGTTGGCATTGGCCGTCAAATGATGTAAGCTTTTAATGTCGACAAGTTTAGTGGCGAGTATAAAAGGGTTTAACAGGACATCAAGCTGTCTCCTCCACGTAAACGATGCAAAATAAGCAAGCGTTTGAAACCCGCGAATTGAACGGGATACTAAAAGTGTGTGCGTATTGGAGTAATTAGAGTAGTTACGGCGAAAAATACCTAATTGGGTCAGATCGTTGAAGCATAAATGCAAAGTTGAAACAAAGGAATAAACGCTTGTTGTTGTTCATGGAGACTTCAAACTAATTATCAACTTGACAAGCCCCGGATGAATGGAAATGCAGCGTGAAATGCATATCTTCCTTCCGGTACTACCTTGTATCCTCTGGCGAATTTGCTTCCGGTGTATGAGGCATTTCCACTTTTATATTTTTGATTTGTTTTGCTGTTGTCGCGGTTTCTGAGTGCTCAATTTGTCCTGCGCAAAAGAGAGCTGCGGTTGGATTTAATGGCACATTCGCTTGTCGAATAAAATCTAGGCGTTTCCGGTCCTAACCAAGCATTTCGTTCATGGAAAAATATAATATATTTATCTATTTAGTCGTGTCCTTTCTAAATGAAACTTACTTAGATACAGTTAAGTCGACTGCCTACTTATTCCTATGCAATGAGTGTAAGTGGAAACAGCCAAACTTAATAGGAAAAAACATTGCTTACTCAATTAAACCAGAATAGACAAATATGGACCCGTGACGACTTCTGTTATATACGATAGATGAATACGGAGTGTCTGGTTAGATTACTCAGAATGTACACTTCTTTTAAAACTATGCGTAACACGAACGCATTAACTTAACTATGTGGCATCAGTTAAACATTTGAGCACACCATCAAAAACAAATGATATAGAAGCGCAGCGTTCCCATGAACACGCAAACTGCTCACCTGCCCGTAATAGTGAACATGGAAGTGAGCCTCTATAGTTAAATACTCCTACAAGATCAACATGTTTTGTACACCCTTACTTAAAATCTTTCCTTTGACAGCAGTTTCCGACCAGCTTGACCTTGACAGCATTTTCCTCCAATGCCTAGGACAGCGCACTAAGTTTTTAGACAAGGAGCCCGTTGTATTTTTTGAACAGATTATTACCGCTTAAAGGAGGATTTGAGGCTAGTGTTAAATCATTTCTAGTGTAAATTTGGAAAGTATTCAGGAATGAGACAGCAATGCATTGTGAAGACTGCGTCCATACATGGGATATATGGAACGTAGTCTTGGCCACGAATCAGTAACCAATAGCGTTGCAACTGTACAGGTGAAAAGATTCCTAAGTACAAGTGAAGATGTTTCATTTACCGGCGCGCTGATCTAAATAGTGTCTACATTAAAAGATAAACAGGGGATCAAATACAAGAATATGTTAATATTAGAGCCGGATACTGAGGCACTTTTGGAGCAAGTCCGCTGCAGCTGGTTTCATTTCGAAATGATCCATAGAACCCCTGGAAACGGTTTTGAATGATTTTCAACAGGACAAACTTACTATCCTGTGCTTTCAGAATGTGCGTGGGTCTGTCTGACTTGAAACTAACAGCGCAGGATATCCTGAGAATATTAGGGAAGGCTTAAGTGCAATCTGTAGACATTCACCACTCAATTCAAAAGCCTCATTTGTGCCCAAACTCCAATCTGGAACTCTGCATCCAGTAGCGTGCGCTTCCTAAATTTAGAGACAATGGATGAGTAGTTGTCCCTCTCCTTGTAAATATATAGGCATAGTTTTGATTTTTAGCCTGCTAGCCGTTGCAGACAACTTTGGAGCTGTAGCCTAATCGAAAGGTTAAATTTTTGGATACTGCATATAAATCCATACCACTTAGGTGTGCGTGCCGTCCAACTTTTTTCAAGTGTCTCTATAGTAATAGTAACAAGTAAATGGTGGTCATTCCTCCTGATGCGGAAACATCGAATTTGTTGTCGTTAACTTAATTAAGAGCACCAAACTTCCGTGAATGGAAAAACATTAGAACATCTTTCGGTTACAAGAAAAAGAGGCAAATTGAATGTGTAGAATATTCTAGTAAGTGTTACGTCCAATCAGATTTATTCCTGTTGGAGTAGTATTGAAAACACGAATTATTCGTATGAGATGACCCGTAGGTCAACACACCAAGACCACACATAATAAAAAAAGGCAACAAATAGGTCGGCAGTTAGGGAACATGGACTGCTTATGTGGCAGCTTTTTCCCATTTTCCTATTCATGTGTTGTTTATTTTGTGCAACCTTTCACGGTCTGCTGCGTCATGTTCTTAATTGATAGATGAAAGTCATTCGTCGCTTTAAAAACTTGGTCACTGTCAATTGGAGTGCCAATTTAGTTCAGTAGCAAGTTGCCGGATGGTTGATGCTGACTCTGTTGCTCCGACTTAAACGGTCTTAGGAAATCAGAATTTCCAAGAAAGAAAGTAAGTTTAGAAAGACGCTAATGTTTTCAACCATGCCCAGCAGTAAAAGCACATAAGAAACAAAATGCTGTTGGCAAAATCATTCGGTGTGGGATGATAACACCTAGTATTCATTTACGTCAGACGTGGTGGCAGTAGCCGAGTTGACCAAAGTTCACGTCAGAGTTAATTGCAATCCAGATTGCTTCCGCGCATCACATACCATCTACACAAAGCGTAGCTTAAAATAACACCCACCAAATTAATTCGTTCTTCACCTTACCCGTTCTCTCTCGCAAGTATGCCCTGATATCCATATATATATCGCTAATCTTTTCACGCATTAACCACCATCAGACAACCACTAGCTTAGTGCATTATTTTTGATAACTAGATGTTGTAAGTTAAACGTTAGAGGGAACATTTTATGAAGAACTTATGAAAAGGCCGGGATATTATCTTAAAAAATGGTGCTTTTGCTCAGCTCAACTCACCCATCATCGATGTTGAACCTCAGACGCGCACTGTGGCGCAGGCAGAGTAGGCTGTAAAAAGTAGAATCCTGAGAAATGTTTCTCACGGATCAACCGGGGCTTCGCTTGACTATTAAATGCGGGTACCAGCTTTGGACAGAATGAAACGCGCAAATGAAGCTCAGTCAGCTGACCGTCATCTCAATCGATCAAATCCACCTGCCAATAGCGAATGATGCGAAAGAACCAATCAAGTTGTAGAGGGTACGACCATACTGGTCTGAGTTACTCACTCACGTTTGATTGTCAACTTTGATTACTGTCATGGAAAAAAGGACGTTGGCGAGAACTGTAGTGATAACGCTCAACATCTCCGTACGCTTTAATCGGTGGGACTTAATTTGATAGTTTAGTTGGGAACCCACTACAATATTACGATTACGAAGTCTATTCCGCTCAACTTCCTCAAAATACCGGCTAATCTCTTCCGAAAATGATTCGAAATTGAATAGGTACTGCAAGTGGGTTTTTATAATTTCTCCTCAGCATATAACTTTCATAACTTTAGGACAATGGAAATGGACAGCCTGAGCCATCTTGAACGCACACCATGTATGCAAATTATTTGAGCGACACATCGTGAAAAATAAGAGTATCACTGTGTTTCTAACTAGCTTACTTCGATTCAGAATATTCGAGAATGGTGCAAGACATTGATAGAATAGGTTCCTGTTTTAAACCCAAGAATATTCATTTTTATTTGTCAGGTGATTACCTTTGATTACCAGTTAGCCATACTATTTGCGTGACAACAAAGCAGCTAATCTTCGAGAGGAATGTAGAGCTAACGGTCTATATGATATGGGACCAAGGCAGCATTACGCACTACCTATGAGGCAAGCACAGAAAGCATTACAGAATAACATCTCACAGCTTCATCTGGTAAATGTTGGATTATAATAAGCAATTTGAAAAAAGTACGAGAAAACACATTCATTCGGCAGTAAATGCGGGTTCAAGTTTAGATGGAACTCTGTTATGCAGACGGTGTGTTTCGATAACTCACATTCAGTGGGCGCATCATCATTTACCACAGGCGAACATTTACTTGAAACAAGATTTCGAAAACAAGTGCCTACATTTTCTCAAAGCTATTTGGAATAGTCACGCGTGGTGAATTGCAACGTTTAGTCCTTACAAAGTGGCAACATACGAACTTATAAGGTATTTCAAGCAAATCCTGAAGGTGTTCAAAAGAATAGCAATAACCACACTGTAGAACTAAGTAAATAACTCAACCGCCCTGAATGGTTTCATCTGGAACGATAAAAGCAATAGAATGTTTTCCAAGTGACGTCTACATGTAATGTCTGTCAGTTGCGTGAATGCCACCATGAGAGGAGACCATCAAACGTGCTTTGTTAACAATATTATGTTTAACTAGCAGACTTAAACAACTTAATTAAAGCACACAGCAGATGTGTGCACTCAGAGGGACCTTTCATTATAATTCAGGGGTAGAGACGATCAATAAAGTATGGATGACCTTCGAACGAGCGTTTCTCCGGTTTATTTTACGCAGTAAAAAATAAGCAGTATTATATTTCCTCTAAGTAAACACATTTTAATGTCTACAAAGTTCCTCGAGCTATTTATAGGGCTAAGTTCTCCTAAGGCTTCCGTTTTTGATTGAATTCATTCAGATGGAAGAAATCTATCATCCATACGACTTTTAATGGCTGTGCCAGTAAGCTGTTCGCAAACTACCGGCTTTCCAGTTTGAAAAACGTAGTAATTGAAATTGTTAAATAATTGTTGAGTTATACAGTGCATAACCGCCTCAATTGATTTCACTTTCTCATTTCTACGGAAAACATGTTCCGGGTTTTCTTTGTAGATCTTGAAAGCAACACTAACGTAATTGACAACTGCCACTCTAAAGACGTGCTTCGTTTTGACTTTAAAGAAGCGTTTGATATTTTTCCCCATTTACATCTGTCACTGAAATTTAGATCTTGTCTGATATCCGGTTTTGATCTAAACTGGTTGTCTGCATTTCTGGAGGGGATAGAATGTCTTATACATGACTGGCGTAGCCTTTCGCTTAGGCTTATCACAAGAAATGTTATTTGGACATTTCCAGTTCGCAATTCATGTAAATGATTAGTTGAGGAGCTTGTTCTAGCTTCTCGACTGTTTGTGGACAATCTCAAGCTGTGGAAAATTGTAATGAAACAATTCAGTGTATTGATTGCGCACTTGGATTGGTCAAACTTATGATTGTTACCCATTAGCTAGCGACGTGTTCTGTCCTCTGCATCGGAGCTGCTACTCCCCTTAAGGAATATACCGTTAACAGAAGTGAAATCTCTGTTGTGATTTAGAAGATGGATCTAGATGTCCTTCATATTCGGTGCTTTACAGTGGTGCTTGTAGAGAGTTCCGTATGTTGCCGTTTATAAATCACATGTGTAATTATTTTCCTTTTTCATGGCAGCCTACAAGGAGACCGGCGTCCACACTTAAACACAAGGTCTTTTCAGATAAAAATGAATTAGGAAAAGTTCTGTTAGTGGGAGGTATATTAATAAACAAGGCAGGTGGACAGACTTCCCTAAGGTTGGCGCACTTTGCAATGTATTCGATTTAATATCAGAGATAGTGAAGACATTAGTCTGTCGCACCGTTGAAGCTGTACAAATCACCTTCTGAACGGGTTAGCACAGAAGTCTTTTGTCGAGCCGACTAACTGAACATTGAAACTCACTTAAGGAGCACATAGCTAGAGAAACTGAGGGTGAGAGTTTTGAGTGTCAGGTAGATGCTCTTGCAGAACTATACTAAATCTATCTATTCTCCTAACCTACTTATTTTGCAAACTTCTTTGGCTATTTTTTACTTAGAGTACTGAGTTTTTACTCTCAGAAGTCAACAGAGGTTCCTACTACTGCTAGTCTTACCTTCCGAGTTTACCGTACGCTCTTCTTACTTGACATTAATCGGTCCGGCAAAGACTGCTGGGCAGGATATGGGTCCATTAATCGGTTGGCTAGGGTGTGTTCAGATTTTGTTTTAGGTTCATCAAAATCTCCGATTGCCCTATGAACTCCTGGTTCTGCGATGCGCATGTGTAAGAACAGTCTCTGCATTATCCAATTGCTTCGGCTTCAAGTAAACTAGGAATTGAGATTGTAAGCCTGTTCGCACAATTATATTTTAATCGCCCCTGAACTCTGGGGTTTCCTTAACTTCTGTTTCTCCAATGTGATATATATATATATATATATATTATCCCGAAAGTTTGAGAAACTGTTTCTAAATTGGGAACAGATCAATGTGGACAGAAACGATCATGTTCATGCATGAGTGTATGCTGACGCCAATTCTTAGCCCTTTAGATATTTTTGGGCCATCCCGGATTATTTCATCAGGCGAGTTGTCACGTGAGAAAATGGATGACGTCACTACTAACTCAAAAGTATCTGTCGAGTTTGGTGTAGAAAGACGTGGTGTTTTCACATGTCCTGATTGCGGTTGGTAGGCAGTTCCACAGGACTGCCTAACTTTTAAAGAAAATGTTGGACCGCACGGTTGTTCTAGCCTTTGATATCCGTAGGGTACATTTTTGTTACTTAGTCTATGATGGTGATTGTGTTTTATCTCTGTTATGTAGGTAAGAGTACGTTTTCTTGTGCAATAAATTGTGAAGGAGCATCAGGATTTACTTTACGCGTCACAGCCAGAGGTTCTATGTGAAGCTACTTGTAATGTTCGCGATAGTTTAGATTGGATTTGCTATAGAAAAAACGTTTGGTGAATGACTTCTGTAAATTTTCTTTAGATTTCCTGTCTGAATTCCACATGCTGCCATAGGTGAACTTGCAGTATTCGAGAACAGTACGAGTGAGACTTGAAATAGTTCCAAGCTGGCAGTGACTGTATGGAATTTGTGGCTTATGATAGCCACGGATTTTTTAACCCGAGTTACTTGGTTTGGGGCTTGTTCAGAAAAGCGGAAGTCCGAGGAATATCGGATTCCAAGATTATGCATAGGCTGCCATATGGATATACTTTTCTTTTTAAGTTTAATTGACGCACCTGGTAGTCCAGAAACCACAAGGTATAATTTTTGATTTGTTAGTTGCGAAATTTATCAGCCAGTTCTCAGACCAAGCTTCAAGAGAGTGATGATATTCTTGAATTAAAAGTAGTGTGTTCTGAAGCGTATCAAGTTGGAGTTTCTAAACAATCTTGATATCTTCAGTAAATTGAAAGAGTTGACCATTTTTGATGGACATTCCAACCTCATTGATGTATACAAGAAAAAGCAAAGGGCCAAATACAGTTCCTTGGATGACGCTGATGGTTATTGGACGCGAAGAAAACTGGTGATCACCCAAAGTTGATATCTGAGAATAATAACTAAGGTAGGAGAAAGCCAACTTAAAAGCCGGTTCTGGATTCCGAAGGATTCAACCTTCTTCGATAACTGTTTCTGCGGTACACGGTCAAATACTTGTATTTAGGTTCAAAAACAAAATTGTTATTGCGTAACGGGACTCAATTGATTCTGTAGTGTGGTTAACTTAGTGTAGCTGGCAAGTCATGTAGGAACATCTATCAAGGAAACCATGTTGAGATGTGTTAAACAGGTTCATAGGATTAAGCAATTCCATTAACTCTTTTTTGACTAATCTTTCAAACAAAATGCCGATGGTGAGAATATAATGAATCGGTCGGTAATTGGTAGCTTTTTTCTTGGGACCACATTTATGGCGTGGGATGATGAAGGAGGTATTCCAATGAACAAGGAAATGGTTTGTAGCGATTGAGTGAACATGTTCAGCAATTGTAGTGGTAAGACTGACCCTCCCATTTCAATGGCACTTGAAGTGATACCGTCGGAGTCGAACTTGAGAGAAGGTTTGGTGATTTTCATTAGCTGCTAAATAGTGCTGAGAGAAAATTCGACACTGCTTAGACTTTCGGTCGTTACGGACTGAGGACGTTCAGGTATGGGGTCAGATT